TTCTTTTGGTAACTTCACAATATTATACTGTTAAATACATTTTCAAATTTTCATGAAAATTAGCATGAATCTGGAGGCGGGCTGCTTTAATATATTTATATTTGTCATCTAACTGACTTAAATCCTATATACAATTATAATTGAGCCATGTCACGACAAAACCAACATAGTGGGTTTGCTACCAGCATGGATCCAGACCAGCCTGCGCATCATCGCAGTCTGATCAGGATCCATGATGTTCGCTTACCAACTCTATTACAAGTAGAGGAACTGATAGCGAACAGCATGGATCCTGATCAGACTGTGCGGACGCGCAGGCTGGTCTGGATCCATGCTGGTCGCAAACCCACTATGTTGGTTTTGTCGTGACACGGCTCATATCATTTATCGCTCAATTTTAATATATACTAAAATGCTGATAATGAACTCCCCGTCTGAAATGTCAGCAATTTTTATTTTGTTGGTCCGATAAAATCTGTTTATTGGTTCAAGATATAAAGATTTTATTGCAATCTTTATTAATTGTAAGAATTTGACCTTACTTATTTTGTTGATCTGACAGTTAAACAGTTCTACGAAATGTATACATGCAATGGCAGTTTAATCAGTAAATGCATTTACTTTACAAAAAAGTGTTAGCTCTATATATACTCGTATAAACTGATGGTATCTGATAACTGGTTTCATAGTTATAGAAAGAGCATCGAAACAAAAGGATATTTGATTTGTACAGGAGGCGTCGCCCCCTAGTATGAATCAGATTGCCAAGTGTCTTGATATTCTTTCTCTTTTGTATCATAGGCAAAAATGGAAGCACGTCACATTTTGTCACAATATGAAACCTCAGCAAAAAAGTAACCAATAAAAGAGCATCTAAATATGATGTTTCTATCGCTGTCCCCTTTTCACAACAAGTACACCCCAGTCAATGGACACGCTCTGGATAACTTATACCTGCATTCCAGTTTACGCCCTGTGCATGTATATGTATACAATTTAACTCTTGACACATTATCAACAGAAATGTCCCAATACTATTATGATACAACTAAACAGGTACACCACACTTCGATCCATTTAATGTCATCAATACTTAAGATGAAGTGATAGATAATTATATTCTCAATAAATTTTCTTATTGATCACTAAGTGATTTATTTGAATGTAAGGATAATAACAAAGATACATTTCGCACATATTAATGTTGTTACTTTTGAATCAATGTACAAAATTGGTCATTGGCATAATATCATGCTTGAATTCCATTAATTAAACAGATAATTTTTGTTAAATTTACATTACGTACACTCGATCGTCGTAACAAATTTCATAATTCATAGCCATTACTTCACTGGGCCAACAGTGACTTTCTTCGGGAAGTTCTTTTTTAGATTTTAAATCTTTTATCAGTATATGAAATATTTCTATTTAAAAAGAACTTAATATTAAGTAAATAATGGATACATATTTGAAATTGATTTCGAAGTGTGTGTGCTTTATTCCAAAATCATCTCACTTATTTTGATACATTAGGTAAAATGGTTCAAGTGGAAATGCTGCATCAACATCAACACATTATTGCTATTTTAAAAGAGCAGAATGATGAATTTATGCAGCGTCTAGATAAGTTTAGTGCAAGCCTCGACTCTCTCCTGCCACTTGTTACTGAACTTGGAGATCCTCAAACACACATGAAAAATCTTACAAATTTGCACAAACATTCCACAACAATCTGGAAAATTCTTGGTAAATTACCAGGCGACCAACTTCCTAAATGGTATAAACCAGATTTCAGCCAGGAAGAAATACGACAAATATGTCTATACTAAAAAAAAACAAGATTACAACGAGTGTTTCCACATCTGTCTATGTCATAACAAAAGAAACCAGCAAGTTAACTGTGTTAGTCATTGTAGAAACATAACAGGAATATTTAGGTAATTCAATAAGTTTAAAGTGAGTTGCCTTTATGACATATACCATCATTTTTCTACTTTGTTAATAAATTGCAATCACATGACTTGTAAATTTGTCATTTCAGTTCCGGTTAATTTTAGTTACGACAAAAAAAGTTTAAAATCTTACACATTTGCACAAACATTCTTGAATGTCAACAAAAGTTTGGAAAATTCTTTGTAAATTTACAGATGACCAACTTCCTGAAAGTATAACCAAGACTTAAGCCTGGAAAAAATACGACAAAAATGTCTTTACCCAAAAGCTAGATTAGAATGATCAGTCATTGGAACTTAATATATCGAGTGTTGATATCAACTTAATGTGATTTTCTGGTGGCGGTACCTGGAATATTGTGTTTATATATTACCCCTCATCTCCACCACATATCACGAAAGTAAGCCACATTGAATTCGCCGAATAAACTTTCTTTACCATTCAATTGATTCTACTTGATTCTCGTTTTATCATGCTTTTACCTTGAAAGTGCATCGTATGCATTGTCAAAATGAACTAGAAGCATACATAGTATTTAGCTGTAGAAGTTGTAATGTATGTGTTTGTATTACCCTAAGTTTCATTATACTGTTTTGAAAAGGCTGGTCCTTGATGTCAATATCAAATGTAAAAGCCAATTAACAGGAGACCCCCATCCCCCCAATGTTGATTTATACATCTGTAAATAATATAGACTAGAACTCGAGTCGGATGTGTCGCCTTGTGAACAATATGGTTTAAAAGAAATGACAAAGACAAAAATGAAATTTGAAAATCAACAAAGGGCAATAACTCATAAAATAAGAAATGCAGATCAGCAGTTTCTGTGCACTGCACTTCTTATCAATAAAATCTACCATCCTAATAAGTTTCAAGTCTAAAGCTTTTATAATTTATGAGAAATGGCCTGGACAAAATTAAAGTATGAAAATTAACAAAGGGCAATAACTCAAAAAATAAGAAATGCAGAGTACCAGTTCTTGGGCAGTGCACTTCGATTTAATGAGATCTATCACCGTATGAAGTTTCATGTCCATAGCTCTTATATTTTAGGAGAAAAGGCCTGGACAAAAATAAAGTATGAAAATTAACAAAGGGCAATAACTCAAAAAATAAGAAATGCAGAGTACCAGTTCTTGTACACTGCACTTGTTCTTAATGAGAGCTATCACCCTATGAAGCTTCAAGTCCATAGCTTTAATACTTTAGGAGAAATGGCCTGGACAAAAATAAAGTAGGAAAATTAACAAAGGGCAATAACTCAAAAAATAAGAAATGCAGAGTACCGATTCTTGTGCACTGCACTTCTTCTTAATTAGATCTATAATCCTATGAAGTTTCAAGTCCATAGATTTTATACTTAAGGAGAAATGACCCTGAGAAAAATAAAGTATGAAAATAAACAAAGGACAATAACTAAAAAAATAAGAAGTACAGAGTACTAATTCTTGTACACTGCACTTCGGGTCATTATGAGAAGCATGCATACCAAGTTTGAAGTCAATCTGACTCATAATGACTGACTTATGCTCCGGACAAGCTTTCAGGGACGCCGACAACGACGCCGACAACGACACCGACAACGACGCCGACGACGACAACGACGCCACCGACAAAAGTAACCCTAATATGTCGCCTTTTTCAAGGCGACACAAAAAGTGAGTACTATATTAGTTACCTTTATTACATTGTATTATACACAGAAAGTCCGTAGAAGATCTGGATTAATTATTGAAAATTTGTTACATTTCATTAAATCATAAGAGCTTAAGTCAAGGATGTATCTTAAAAGTTTCCATATGTCCTGCCTTCTTGACTTATATTATTAATGCATATCTATGAATTAAAAAATAATGTCGATCTGAGCGGTGTTTATCGGCTATTTATCTCCGGTTTGGAGTTTTTATGCTAAGGAAATTAAGAATTGTATAGAAGGCCGTATTTCGATAAAAACAAGTCAAAATAAGGGAGCTCACTAGCGCTATTTTTGTCTATTTACATTCGGGGGGCAGTGGACCTAAAATGAACTATTTTGTAGTTTAGTGTGGCCAGACACACAATTCCAAATGTTTAAAAATCTGTTACAACGGTAGTAACACTAACATTATCATCATTATCATCATCATCATCATCATCATCATCATCATCATCATCATCATCATCAACAACAACAACATTAAAACAACAGTAGCAACAACAGCAGTAGAAGCAGCAAGAAAAACAACAACCACACAAAGAAAAAAAAAAAAAAAAAAAAAAAAAAAAAAAACAATAAATAAAAAAAATAAGATGAAAAAAAAAACACAAACAAAAAAAACAGCCCCCAAAAAACCCAAACAAGCAAAGAAAATCTTACCAACTCAAAATACTACCTAAAAAGTTCGAATTAATCTGAAATAGTGAATAGGATAACAACAATCATTTTTTACTTAAACTTTAAAAAAAATAACAGGAAAATCTTCAATTGATCTAAAACATGTTATCACGTTTGCAAGATCATCTTAAATTTCAACATCGAAACGTACAAACTCTGTGTAAAACAAGTTCATTTGTACTGAAAAATGAAATAAGTTTTGTTGAGAGTTGAGAAATATGAAATAGACACTTTCATAAGCTGAACGATTTGATTGCACGTTTTCTAGAGATTTAAGCGATTTCAGGACATCTCGATTGTAATTCTTTAACAATATTAAAACTTCCGAAATAAATATTTCCACAGCATGACTCATTTTATATTTATTATTAGACTTTATCTGGGTAGATTGATTCCAAATACTTAAATCTAGTAATTTATAAGCATCAGATGAATGACAATGGTAACAGTTTTAAAGCTTGTCTTTATTTCTTTGTATTTTGTCCACGATATTGGAGTGAATTATTTTATAAAACACACTCATCATACGAAAGGAGTACAAAGTACACATTGTATAAATAGAAACTAGGACATAGATTTTCGCCTCGTTTTGACTTCATTTTCGGAAAATGAGTGTAGTATTTTACAAAATTATCTATTTCTGTAAAAGTTCTGCACCACAATTAAAATTCTAGAGTATTTAATTTCGACTTTGCATCGAAAAATCATTATTTCAAGCCTCAGTCTCTGATTTCGATATGAATTTTCGAAATTAATTTAAACCGAAAGGAAAGTCATATGATGTCGGCCTCGCTTTGAAATAAATATGCCATTGTAGCTTCTAAGGTTACCGCATTTTTGTACATCAATGGATATAGCTAATAAGTAATGAAATCATATCTAAAAAAAAGGATTTTTTAAATCAATTTAAGATTAGTAACAGTTGGATGAAGTCAGGTAAGTACCACAAATATTACTGTAGATCTTCTAAAAATGTTTTGGTTATCATCTTAAGTCATGAAAAGGGCGTCAAACATGGCGGTTTTCTGAGTCCTTCTAATATTGGACATGTTTTATAAAATGAAGATATAAATATGAATGTAAAATACATTTTTATTTTAGAGAATCTAGAAAATATTTTAATATGTTCTTTTGAAATACAGAATACAAATGGTTTGATTATAAAATCATAAAGAAGGTGAAGGTCAATGAATAGATTTATTAAAACGTGTCATTTTGCTTTTCAAATTTGTTATTTTTCAAATTTAATAAAGAATATTGTAAATCATGATGGTCAGTATAATAAAAATAACATTTCTAAAGACTTTCCTATTTTATAAATTGTTTCTAGTATATATAATGAAATCAGCGATAAAACAAAACCGATTTTTATCGTTTAATCTTAACTGCACTTGATGTTTATGACAGAGCGCTTGCGTAAATGTTTGGCTATTTCATATCTCCTGAGATATAATTTGGAAATTATTCCCCGAACGTTGTTTTATTCATTTGAAAGAATAATAAATTTCAATTGATTGATTTGATTAAGTATAGGAACGTTTTCACGTAATTAAATAACCACTGACATGCTAAAGCATGAAAATGATTTGTTTGGTTTCACGGCACAGAAAATATGCGCTGATCATTGATAACGTTTATGATGCATAGTTTACATAAACCTCGTAACATGCATTAAAGTATTTACCGAAAAAAATGCTTAACGTGTATAATGCATATCTGCTGTCTGTAGTTTGCAAATTTTATTTGATTTTTGAAAAAGAAAACCGGTATCGGACAATCATTTTGTGTCACCAGCTCAAGCATGAAATCATTGTGCAGTAAGACCCGTACTTAAAAGCAACATAACATTTTATTCTAGAGCAGTTTATTACGTTTACATACAACATTCACGTGCGTTGAATAACAGATACAATCTTTGTTATATAACCCTTTTGGAAGTCTATCCCCAGAATATGAAAACAAAATAATTCTACCGTTTGTAAATTTCATAAGAAATATTTAATGAGAATCATTTTACTCTAATACTAAACAAACACGCAAACGCACGCGCACAATTGTACGACTCATACAAACACATTTTTAAAGCAGCACGCCTCAAGATTCATGCTAATTTCCATGAAAATTTTGAAAATGTATTTGAATGTATAATATTGTTAAATTACCAAAAGGAAGCCATTTACACATTATCAATGGCACTTACAAGCCATGTTAATTACCAAAAAGTGGTCAAAATATGCAGAAATAGCCCTTACTGCGTTAGTAACGCAGTAGAAATATAGTTATAAATACAAAACAATCAGTAATTAACCGAACATAACATGTAAATTATTACTTCATTCTTCAATCATTTTACGTTTCCTAAAATCGTAGTACATATTTTCAAGTTTGATTTTATTGAAATATTTTGACTCATCTGGAGGCATGCAGCTTTAACTATATATATGTACACATACTTATAACACATTATCTGAAACATTATGGAGCTGAGACTCAAGTAGATAGATGAAATTTATACATCAAAATTAGCAGCACATTTTTGAATTCACCAGATATCACTAGATATTTACTTTAATATATGGTATCTTTGAAAGGCCGGGCTTGTATCCAATTTGATAGACTTTTATAGATATAGCAAATATTTTGATTGCAAAACAAATGTTTGTCTTGTCTTTTTATTGACTTTCTCTTACATCTTGTTTGCACATATTGCTCTTCTTAATAGACTAGAACAAAATCATATTTTATTTAACTACAATGTACATACAATGCGTCATTTAGAGTAGACAAAGATAACAGATAATGTAGAGAAAATTTGATGATTTTATCATGATACCATATCCTTCCTTATAAATAACATTGCTTATAATGCCGTAATGTAGTAATTAACAGAGAATTGCCTTCACAGGTTTTGTGTATTTGAACATATTAACAGGTGCATGCACGTTTTATTCTTCTTCTTCTTTTCCTAATAAATAGATGAAATTTGGAAAATCATTTCAATGGTGTTTATATATTGCATTAAAAAATGATTGCATTCTTATTTGCTTTACTTGATTATTTCACAGGAAGTTATTTAACTGTACAGAGATTCAGCTAACAGGTCAGCTTGTTTACGGATAGCAATGTCAAACAACGATGACGCCAGTGAATGTCAATCGTTGTCAACGGATGCTTTACCTATGGCGCCTAGACAGTTGCCTGAAGACAGCAGTCAACCTATACCACCCAGAGCAAATGAAGAAAACCAAGATGAACCATCAAGTACAGAACATCTTCAACAGCCAACACAATCACCTTTCAATCTACCAAACCCTCCAACTGATTGGAATTTTAATATTTTCCTAAACAAAATAGCAGAAAGTTTAACAATGGAAGATCTTGTGAATATGAAATGGTTCTTTGAAGGTAAATATCGCATTTCATAACATAAAGAGACTAATTTCAAATATTTATAATATATATTCTCTTTGTTTCCCTTCGATTTCTTTTCACTTATGTCAAAAATAAACTACACTATTCTTTTGAAGGTAAATATCGCATTTCAAACAAAAAGAGACGAATTTCAAATAAATATATCTCAATTTTTTCAATGTTTTTTTTGTTATTTCCCTTAGCTTTCTATTCACTAATCATTCACATGTTATATCGCAAATAAACTACACCGTTCTTTAAAATAGATAATAAATTGTCATCTAAAATTCTAATTATTTTGTGTTGAATGCTATTTTGATTTTGTTTTTAATCGTCTTGAATATTTTTTGTAATAATAATAAAAATTATCATAATTTGCTAATTAATTTGTTAGTTTTTAAGATGCACTGAAACTTTAATAATAATAATAATAATAATAATAATAATAATAATAATAATAATAATAATAATAATAATAATAATTTAAAAAATGATTTTGTTAATGGTGATGATGATGATAACGACGATTAATAACTTTTTCAACATGTTTATTTTCAATTAGGGTTAGATCTTACAATTTCTAAATGTGTAATTGTGTCATTATTGCTTCATTATTAACATTCATTTTAGTTAATTCCGTAATGATAATACAAAAACATGAAGAAAATCTCATAATAGGAGTATATTAATATTCATATGAAATTTACAGGCGAAGGCGGTCTAGGGAAAGGGGTTCTTGAGAAAATTAAGACGCCCCAAGATCTATTTCGAATATTGAGAACAAGAGGTTACATTACTCGAGATAACTTGTTATACCTTCAAGGAATTTTGTACCAGGCAGGAAGAAAAGACCTAATACAGGACGGGGTCGAATATGCAAAATCATTGGGCAATGTAGTGCATTTCTATGCTCCAACATATTTACCAGGTAAGGGAATACTAAATATTTTAATTGATAGCATTAATGCAATGTAAGCATAAATGGCGAGATGTTTAGTTTGTTATAATTTGGTTTACGACAATCGTTGATTGAAACAGATTATTTCAAATATCTATTTGAAAGACACTGATTGATAATATATGATGATATTTATTATTTATCATGAAAAATAATATACAATGTCGGTAGTGATGTACGTACTAAAAAAACTTGAACAGTTGAACAAAAAAAACAACAAAAAAAACGTTTCGCTTATCTCCCTTCCTTTGAAACCGTAAACATTCGTGGTCTTTTGCTGAACTTTGCGAAACAACGCGTTTAGCATACATAATTGTATTTATGCATTCTTTTTTAATTAAATATTTTGCAATTTTTAAAAGCAGTAATAGGAATATTTATGGAAAACAATGCAAGTCATTCGATATCGATTTATTATAGAGAATGGTTACAAACATGTCAAATTTCACGTTGACGGTATGGATTTCCAAAACTACTCTAGAGACGATGTAGAAAACCTTCGTCGTAAGGTGTCTGCTATCCTGTTTGTGCCACAACAATTTGTTTTTATATGTGGCATTGAACCGTCTTCTAGTTTGGTCATTACACTGATGATCCCGGACCTGAATGTAGAGATTCTTAAAGAGATGCTGGAGAAAGGTGATGTTTTATCAGCTCTGCATGGAACTGGTGTTGATTTGATTGACTTAGGCGGACAGAAACCCTACACTATCAAAAGTAAGTGTTGTTGACATCAACTTTAAAATAAGTCTATACTGTAAATGAGAATATAAAAAAGGGAATATTCTCCTAGCTTAAAAGATTGGATGTTAGTCTATATATGCTTTTCTTAAAGGTAAAATGTATTTATTTAAAGCATGGCAACATGTATGTTTTTCTAGAACTAAAACACAAAACATTTATAATTTATTAACTTATATTTAATTGATGCACAAAAGAAAGACAGGACGATCTTAATATAATTGAAATTATTTAACAAATACAAAATATTCACAATAAATAAATAAACAGATATGATATCTAAAAGACGGATATTCCTGTTTTGTTGGCAAATACGCAATATTGTTTGCAGGGATGGAGTAAAATTGTTAATATGTCATAAGCTTTTATACATTCAAATTTAGAATCTTCATACTACTAAGATAATCTTATCTAGTATATTTACATGTTCTTCTTGTCACAAGTTGTACATAAATACTTTTCCCCCAACATCTATACTCTACACATAGACAATGTTGTTTATACTATCGCTATATTATTAATTGCATATTTTGAAAATAATTTTGATTTCTTTTGTTTAAAGATAATTTTGATATAACTTTTAAAACTCGAATAACTTTATATGTAAGTTGATTGTGAACACGCATTTAAAGTATTTGAAAAAGAATGCAAGAAATTGAAGATACATAAAACATATTATCTGACTTTAGCGAAAGACCAATTTCATTTATTTATCAAGTCTTAAACTTTGTCTGGGTCATAACTTTGAAACTACAAGAGATATCAACAAGAAACTTTTTTAGGTAGATAGATCCCTTTAAGTAAAGTGCAGTACAAGAGAACTACAGCTCTGCCTTGCCTAATTTTGAACGTATTGTTCTTTGTATTTTACACTTTGAACTTTGTCCGGGACATACCTCTAAAACCGCCAGAGATATTTATAAGAAACTTTGTAGGTAGATAGATCTCATTACAAGTTCGGTGCAGAAGGACTTTAACTCTGCCTTACCTAATTTTGGATTTATTGTCCTTTGTTAATTTTTACACTTTAAACTTTGTTTGGGACATAAATCTGAAACTACAAGAGATATAAACAAGAAACTTAATTTTCTAGGTAGATAAATCTCATTGAATATGAAAATGCATTGCCAAAGGAGCATAGCTCTGCCTTGCTTAATTTTGGAGTTATTGCTCTTTGTTTATTTTAACATTTTGCATTTTGTCCCGGACATAACTTGAGAACTATAGAAGGTATCAACTTAAAACTTTGTAGGTAGATACGAGTAGATCTGAGTAGAAGTGCAATTCAGAAGAACCGTAACCCTCCGTACCCTTTTGAGTTATTGTTATTGCCCTTTGTTCATTTTTACACTTTGAACTTTGTCCATGAAACTATGTAGGTAGGTAGATCTCACTCAGTAGAACTGCAGAAATTTCGGGGAGAAACAACGTATCGCCCTTAAAAAAGTCATGAAAACTTCAAATCCAAACGTTAACTTATCGTATTGATGTAGGAAAATTAATAAAAAAACTTGAAAGAAATCTTTATACTACTGCATTCTCCCTATGTGTAAAATTTTTAACTTAAAAGCACGTTTTCTGACAAGGGCTTGTCGGGGGGTTGGGGGTATTTGGCACTTGTGACAATTTACATCTAGTTTACACATGGATAGGCATAATATAACTTTAAGTGTTATCGTCAGCATTAATAATGTCTCATTGATATTATTGTCCCAAAGGTACTGGTGATACCAATACAGTTGAAAGCGAGCAGGAAATGAAGTTAGTCAATGTTTATGGGCAACTTCAGCAGACAAAAGAACGCCTTGATACAAGCGAAATGACATGTATTGATTTGTATAGGCAAATTGATGATATGCAACAAACAATAGACAAGACCGCCGAAAATCTTCGCACAATGGAGAACGAAATATTTGGTCTGAAAAAAGTATTATCAGTGTCAGCAGATGGAAAAGAGCCAGCTTCACTCAATGAACTAAGCAGCCTGACAGAGTTTACGGAGTCCCTTCACCACTGTACCATGCTAACCATAGACAGGAAAGTAGTGCAACGTATGATAGATGCCACTGTCAATATCGTTTCAAGCAGAATGCGAAAAAGTCATAGAATACGGGAACAAAGTTTTATACTAAGTTTGCAAGATATGGAGTCACAGGTTGTGCCACTGAAGTTCGAGATTGAGAGATTTAAGTTCCTTGACAGTCTAAGCAACATTGATAAGTCAGTTCTAGATAAAATACAAGAAATGTTTCAACCAGTCATAGGTAGGCATATTAGAAGCTTATTTGTATTTTAACTCGGCTACATCAGAAAAAAGTTTGGCTCACTCGCTCATGTGTCGTATATACTATTTTTTCTACTAATTGCTATTCAATATAATATTTGGAAAAATCACATATACACACTAACGCACACGATAGAAACTCAATACTAAATAAAAATGTGTGATTCAAGTCCTTAAGCTATGTTAGAATCATGCATCATTTTAGCATATATAAGCATCGAAGAATTTCAATACTACACATTTTCGTACATGAAATGTTTTAAAAGATTTTCATAATAAATGACACATGCGATTAAGAGTCTATTTTAATTGTTTGTTTCTACTGTCTTATTTAAGGTCAGGTAGTTCAAATTTCCTTAACACCAATTGGAGCGCAGATGGTGACAAAGATCAGTAGTAAGCTACGCCATAAAGAGAAAGAAAAGTTAAAACTGAAATACCAATGGATACCGAATGGTGATATCGAGATGTTTATGGAGCAGAATCCGAACTTATTCCTAGCAGGAATATTTTACAAGGAAATGGCCACAAAGAAAATGAATATTAATTTTGGTAAAATACTTATTTAATGTTAGAAAATAAAACTCAATGATTTCAAAACATGTTATCAAGTCATTTTAATGAGTGTCGCGAATTAAAGACATATAATATAATTGTCATATTGCATGACTTAATCAACATTATAATTATCGTCAAAGTCAAATTACAGTGTAACTTCTGAAAACCGAACACCTGTGGGACTAGCCAAAAAGTTCGGAATTTGGAAGTTTCCGGAATTCAGAAGTTCAGAACTATCTGAACAAGTAGAAACATTTAACATAAATTGTTTAAGTAAGACATGATGATAAATACATGAAGCTGATTAAATTCATAAAAATGCAGAATTATAGGACTGTTAAAAAACTATTTTCAATTTCATTATCATCTATAACTGGTTATGTTGAAACAATAGCATTATGCTAATTAATTATCACAATTTGTCCTTTAGTTAAATTTACCTGTAATCTTTTCATTTTCTTCCCATTGTATGTTTCTAAATTTTCACACTTTAATCAAGTGTTTGATATGCTTGATAGCTAGGTTGTGATTCTTATAGGTGACAAGATAAATGGTTACTGCTAATTGAAATATACTGACATTTTGAATGTTTTACAAACACAAGCACGACATAAACATTCACATTTTTTATTATGTAAAGCGCTGTCTCATTGTAAAATGCTATCTCAAAGTGCTTTCATTTTTTGTTCGTCGAGTTTTGCGCGATCTGTAAGGTTTCAAAATTAGTCTGCAAGATATTAATTAAAAAGTTTTTCATTTTTAGTGTTCGAAAAGAATGTAACACAAAACGAATAATGCCGTGACAAAAGTGCCAAGAAAACTTGATATTTTACATATACAGACCATTAAATAAAGTCAACACAGTTTAGCTTATGTTAAATCACATTTTTGTTTACATTTTAAAACTATTTACAACTTCGAATAATCAAACAAATCAAAGGTGCTTGAATGTTAAACGTGATGTAAAGTGACCTGTAAAAATGAAATTTAATCAAGTTATTGTATTCAGACAAATTTTGTGATGTGATCAACAATACCATGCAGACAAAATCCTGGTTAAAGTAATAATTGTATATGCAATTTGTTGTGTGCCATATTATCAATAAGTTAATTTCATTTATAATTAAATTTTACAGAAACCTTCTTAGCACAATGTCTTTCCGAAGTGGGGAGAGAAGATTTGAAAAAGTATTTGGAGCCGAAACATTATCAAAGTCCTCAAAGTGCTAAAAACTCCACAGAACCTAACCAGAAACCAGACGCTGATGCACAATGGCGAACATATCCTCAACAAGGACAGAGGCAGCATCAAGGTCAACAGCAGCAACCGCAGCAGCAACAACATCAGCAGGAGCAACAACAGCATATATCCATACTCATCAACCGAATGTCACAACAGATAGATGAAATGTACAATATGCTTCAGACAAGTCAGAAAATGTATGGATCCAAATTTGATGATTGGAAAACCCCATCATTTGCATCTAATTTTTTCCAACAGCAACGGACCGTTTAATGTTTGAGTATCTGGCAATTATACTATTACTTAACTAGATATCACACAACATTATGTTTGAAATTTATCAACATTTATTGGCATATTTTCTTAAGCTATTTTATACGAAAAGATTCCGGTTTCATTTTTTTGCTCAAATATTACAATATTCCTGATGATTAATACTAAGAACCTCTTGACAACTTGACAAAAGGCACAGAAGCAAACAAAGGTAATCCTTGCAAAACGAAATGAAGATACCTCAATGTAGTGAATAGAAGGTCGCTTTTCATTTCGTTTTGAAAGGATTACCTTTGCTTGCTTCGGTGCCTTTGTCACATGTATTTTCTTATTATGTGCTACAATGACACATGATTGTGTTATCCTGTTACAAGGCGTTTACAATAGAACATTATCATGATCTCCATGTGGTGATTGGGGACCAGAAATACCCACTACTTCACGAAAAGCCCTACGCGCAAATCGCAGATGCCACAGATCCCAACATTTTCAGGCATTTGAATAACAATAAAAGAACAGAGGACAGTATTTAAATGTGAATGTAGTTTTGAACGGGAAAGAAGATGTTTATGTTTGCTGATGCCGCATCACCTAAAAGAAGTGTGCATAAATGATCAGTTGTAATATTTCGTAGATTGTCAAGAAGTTCAGCACGTTCTATACCAAAGCGTGGATATTTGAAGAAGAAATGCCATAAGTTTTCAATTTGACCACATTCACAGTGGACTATTTATAATGTTCTTTGAATATAAATTCTCCTAAATGAACTGCGCCTTCCTCAGAGCATGAACATGATTTACATATACTAAAGAATATATCATCAGATGAATTGCATGACATAAATTACATACCTTATATCATAACGTAAATGTAAATGAATTAGATTTATCTATTTTTAAGTAGAAGCGGCGTCTGTTGTATTTTGACACCCTATAAATTTTACGTACATTTTTAGTTTAGAGAGAGCTAAAATATATTTAATATTTATATGCAATAAAAGGCACATGGTTGTCTTACACTCTCATATTTTGAATATTTAAAAAGATTCCAGTATTGGTTTATTATTTTGCCAATTATCTAAGTTAAAAAGCGTCTTTCATTGTGAAAGAAGGCACTTTTTAAAAAATCATTTAAAATATTTGCAGGCTTCAAAATACCAACTGAATTTTGCCAATTTCTTTCTAAAAACATCATCATTATTCTGAAGTCATTCTCCTAAAGCGATTAGCTTGACTGAAAGGGATATCCATTTTGCAAGAAATAGGGTGACATATAAAATTTCTATACACTGATATATAAAATGTAATTGTTTCTTTAGAGAAACGATATGCTAATTTCATAAAGTCATGAACATTATTTATTTAGATTCCAGATGAAAAAAAGTCATCTTGAAATCGCAACCGGATAAGTGTTTTCTTTTATCTCAGGAGTCCATAAATTCTCTTTCGAGTTTATCCATAAATAGAGAATATAAATATAAAAACAAGGAGCCATTTTAGTACCTGTTATTTTAAGGTTATTTGTTCCATTAAATTGAAAGCAGATTTTGTTAAAAGCTAAATCTATGATCATAGTAGAAAAAGAAAAAAAATATAACCCTGTGATCTACTAATATTTCCCATAGAGTATTTAGAACCATTGATACACTCGTCATATGAGGAATATTACTTTATAAAAATGTTGAATCAAAGGTCACAAGGTAAGAGGTATGCATCCTTATCTCTGTACTCGAGAAACTTTTTGAGTCTTTTACATATGATTGCAATGATTTCAAGAATGACGACATATTTTCAGTTAGAGCTCCGCTACCTGATTTATTCGGTCTACCTGGATAAGGAAGGAGTGTATCAGGATTAAATGTTTAATGAATCCTAGGTAACAAATAAACTGTGTAAAACTATGGCACTCTGTATTTGATTGATACAGCGCTTCAGCGTTGATTCTCTCATGCCCCAACACTAGTTTTTTAGCAGATGGTCAGCGGGTCCACTGGATTTGAAATTTAGGTGGTTCTTCTGGAAGTCAGCCGGTCCATTCGTTTTCATATTCTTTACATAATTAAATATAAAACACTTAAGATTTGGAAGAATGGCTCTTTACATTGGTGTCAGAGAGATCTTATTAACAGCCAAAGAGAACAGTTATTCTTTAAAAAAAATCTTCTTATATAAAACTTACGAAAGAAAGCCTGTTAGGTTTCTATTGTTAAAATATTATGTATCTCTATATATATTGTAATTAAAAATACATAACAGGGATCTTCTTCGGGTAAAATAATATGTTGAAGTGACTTCTCCCTCAACTTATGTAAGGGAATAGTGAATATATTTTGTCTCTGTCTTATTTCTTATTGTTATACAAATATTCATAGCCGTACATATTATAATTATAAATATTTATTATAGACTATAATCTTTAATAAAATTCATAAGTTACATTATTTTTGTATTTGAAAACATGGAAATATTGACTACAGATAAACAACATAATACATTCATAGTAGTTAAGTTTATTTCTCTCACACATTTATAATTACCTCCCTGTTGTCCGCTTGTTGTTATATTTTCTTAACATAAAGTATATCTTAAAGTAATTCAATCTGTGGAAGAATTTTTTCTTTTCTCTGATTCGGTCCAATCTGGTAGTCAATGCCCAATATCCGACAGGCAGAAATGAATATCATTGCTTCAGCCAAGTACTTTCATTTAGTCAAACTCTAAGTGATGCTAGGATCTATTATTTTTACAGCAGAATAAACAAAGCTTTGAACGTATGAAATTGAAACAAATTTTATAAACATGTTTATAAAAGTGTCATTTTAATTTGAAACAATGTCTTATGCCACAATTTGATGCATTTACTCACATTCATTATTCCCGTGGATAATATAACTTTGACCTATATACCGATATATTCATTTATTGCAGTTTCTCATATATAATATTATTTTTGTGGTGAATGTCAGTACATTAGTTGGGATTAATGCCCTTTGAAACAAATTCCCTAAAGGTCGCACAAAACAGTAACATTAAAATTGTTGCAGGCTCGGTTTGATTGATTGAGCATGTTTATGGACCTTACTGGTAAATACAACCCACTGTCCACACAACCCAGCACCAGTTTAAGTGGAATTCAACGTTTGATATGAATATAATGGTGATTTTCTGAATTAACGAACATCCGCGGTTATTATGGAAACTTCAATGTCACATATTCATGCTATTCAATAAATAGCAGCGACATACGTACGGTCTGCAAATGAAATGATGTTACTGCTCTAAACGAGAAAACAAAATGGGGAGAACTAAATGAAATTGAGTTTTAATAGGAGATGGTAAAAGTTTATGAAATCTGTATATGACAGACAAGACGACAACAGACGAATTTTAAAAGCAGGCACAATATCCTAAGTTTTTTTCTACAATTAAAGTATAAAAGATATCTGTTTGTTTTGTATATAAGATCGCATTTCAAATATCTCTCACACCTTACTAGAAAGGATAAGACAGACGGAACAAAAAGACTACAAATACAACAATGATACGGTGCTGAACGATCTTCAAGGATTGAAATTATAATGCCTTTGATTGGATGTACGAGCGACCTTTTACAACCTACATGACATGCGACACAAACAACACTGATGGGACAATACAGTACAGATAAATGGAATCCCTAGGCATGATATTGTTCATACTAGAACTTCATATTTATGTTAGGCTTAGATAGAGAATATTCCTTTAATTCCATAATTGAATATAGATCAAAAGTGTACTGACCGTATTATTTTTACTCAATTAATATTACTCTTTTTGGGGCAATAGGACTACAAAACCTTCCGATGCCTTCTCGGGAAAATATTCGAGGTGAATCATCTGATTAAATAAAGAAAGCAAACCTGGAAGAAAGACATATTTACCATGTTTAAAAATACATATTTAAATGTAATACTAAACATAATGAAAGCACATGTTAAGAAACAAATCCAGCTTGTTATATTGTTGGTGTTGTGTGTTTCCTGTGAAAAACACAAGAAAATTAATTCATTCTTCAAATCAGCGAACGATAAACAGTTAAAGTATAGAGGATATCTATTGTTTTGCATATTAGATCGCGTTTCAAATATGTCTCACAGAGCGTTCACCTGATACAATATTTTCACAAATTGTAAAATTTTAACATCTCATATTCTTCATGTGACATTAATTTCGATCTCACATGAAAACCAAACAAATATCCTCTATATCCGTATTACAATATAGCATGTCTGCTATGAATGCTATATTTCATAATTTCACTTTGATTCTCTAAGTTCGATGTCGAAATTTGTTTTTTAAGTTGAAACATGTAATATTGTAAAGTATAGAGACAACATAATCATCAACATCAACAGCAACAATAATAATAATGATGATGATGATGATAATAATAATAATAATAATAATAATAATAATAATAATAATATTTACAATAATAATACCACTGAACGATATGAAATATTCAACAGTAAATATTGTATAAATCCAAAAACTGCTTTCATCAACAAGTTACTGTTCGAAAATATGTTACAATTACGATGTCAAATATTTTACATTCATTATTCGATTAATAAAACATACAAAAAAATAAAATAAAAAAGATATGGCATATGTGTGTATGTTGTGAACAAATAAGTCAGAACTTAATTAATTAACATTTTAAGATAGTTTTTACATTACTGTTATTCAATCATTTTACTTTAATAATCTAAGAAATGATACACATCACACAGGGCCTCATAACATATAGTTACCGATCAGTCAGCCCGGACAAAAGAAGACGAAGGTCACCTTTTAATTTGACTAATGTAATAAAGTGTTTGTATAAATATAGGAACAGAACAGAACAGAACAGAACAGAAATTTTATTTCGTAACGTATACAATACAGTTATCTTGTTAACAGATTACACATATCAAATATTATAGATAGATAAACACTGGAAATATAATTCAAAGATTTACAGTATATTGGAGAATGAACATATATTGGCTGGAAAAAAAATTGATTTTTTAATAAAATAAATGTATATAGAGATAATCTGCATTTTTAATTTCAGAAATAATCTCATTTTAATATAAAAATTACTAGAGAAATCTAAACGTTTACAATATTAATGAAAATAAATAACAACATTTTTTTAATACATTAAACATTTAATGTATAACCTAAGCTTATCATCATATTTTTCTTTTACTATTTTGCAAAATAAATAAATTTAATAAAATTTAATAATATAGACTTTTCACATGATGAAGTAATTCTATGAATTAAACATGCTAGGGTTTTTTATAATAATATCCTTTTTAATGAATTTAGTGCGTATTTCCTGGTACAAATTACAAACAAGTTATAAATGGAATTCGTCTTCAAATATCGTTGTGTATTACAAAGTTGACATATGGCGCTCATGTCTTTCAAGTCTGTTTCTACCATATCGTTCCAGATTCCTATTCTTAAAATTATGCGCAGATAATTCTGAGAGCGGGTTAATTGTTGTGCTTGATTTCATACACTTAATTTTATCTAAATAGCAAATTCCATAGAAAAATTATCCCCTTGATATGTCTATACAATGTATTTAAAACGTTATTTATTAACAATAATCTGAAAAACCATTTTTTGTTTAAAAACATCAATGAACTCTTTGTTTAAAAATATTCAACAAATTCTTTTGGATTATAAAGTTTCAGGACAATTCCACACCTCAGAAAAACCAAATTCAATCTAAAATTCCTTTTACTTTATATGCCCAGTTTTTCAGCTCCTTTTTTAAACACTGATTTAATGTATTTATATACACACACTTTAACAATGATATTGCTTGAATGTACTCATTTAAACAAATATTTATTATGTGAACATATAGATTAACATAAAAGTGGGTAAAATCTTTCCTAGCTCACCATAAATTGCTGCCATTACAAGAGCTTATTTTTCACACCAAGAATTAACTTTGCAAAAATTTTTCAAGTGTAATCTCTCTATATCTTTAGATTTTGTAAATCCCCCAGACTGGACAAGATAATTTTTAAATGATAGGGGCCGGGACAAAAGCATCAAATAATTGAAAGGGAAACAGAAAGGGGGATATTTTCATTTTTTAAATTTTACTATTAAAAACATTATTGCTTTCAAAGTTTTTCCCTTAAAAGAAAAATTGATTGGGGAAGTAAAAAGGGACATTTGTAATTAAATCCACACCTAAAAAATTTAAAAATTGTCAAAAATTTTAAAAGTTTTCATTTTTAAAAAACCCAACTTCCCTGGGAAGTAGGGTTTCCTCTATTTCCGAAAACAAATTATTTTAGTTTTTGGGGTTTTTACCTCTGGGCCCCCTAGATTACAGTTTTTCAAATAACGAGTTTAAATTCTTTGCTTAAAATCCCTTGCGAGTTCCCAAATTAAATTACTTTTATCGTCGCGGAATAACAATAATTTACTATACATATTTCAAATATATTCAATCCACAATCGAACCGAGTTTTTGTAAAAATAATTCTAGGTACTTCCAAAATAGTGCAAAACATGGCGGGCGAATTATTTTGGCCTTGTCGTCAGCCCATCCGATAAATTGAAAAAAAACCCTCTGAAAATGTATTTGCAAATGTTTAACACACGACTAAACAATTGAATACATTGATTTAAAAAGGTTCTAAGTTACCTTCCCCCATCTAATCCCATATTAAACAATTTATACCATAATGCATTGCGGTTCACAGAGTCAAAACGCCTTTTTTAAGTTTCGATAAAAGCACAAGGTAATCGCATTTTTTGATGTTAACATCATGGTTTTATTAAAAATTGTTTTGTAACACGAAAATTGCAATCTAAACTGTACTACACCCTTTCTGAAACCAAATTGGAGCGTCTGACAAAATGTTATTCTCATCAAAACCCATTTTTTCCACTCTATTTGTCGAAGAGGTAGCGCTTATGAAATAATTTTCCCCAAAAATTACTTAGTAATGTGATGCTTCAAACGAGTTAAATTTTATAACAATTTAGTTATTGATCACGCTTTTTTCATGAAGAGGTATAATTTAAAGCCGTTTCAGAACCTATATTTAATGGGGAAACAATAGGCTCGCATCCAAAAACTTCTGTTAAAAAGATCAGTGAGATTGGCCTACTACCTATATCAATAGAAAAATTATAATAGTATTCGTCTAACAAGTCATAACTTGGACAAGAACGCCTTTGTTGAAGGTTGTTAATTTCGCTTCCACCGCATTCATCTAACTTCTTCGCAAAGATTATGGCGAATATTAAGCTCGTTCGTAAAGTAGGGTTACTATATTTTAGAGCCATCAATTTATTAATCATTTGAAAATAAGTTTAGCATGCAAAATTCAGTTTGTATGACCTTATTGTCTTCAAAACATATTTGCAAAATACATTTTGAAATCTAAAATAGGTTGTCCCGAATTTGTGTTAAACATTTCGTTTTTTAAAAA